GGATGGATGAGTGGAAGAGAAAAAAAGGGAAGGACACAAAACCTCACCTATTTTGTGTAGAGATCTAGGGTGTTGAGAAGTAGGTCATTTCTAGGTCTCATCTGAGTGTTTTGAATAGAGCATTTATGGGTTTGGATCTTATCGAGAATGTCCAAACATTTCTCTTTGAGGTGGTCAGAATCTAAACCCCTCCTTTTGCATGTCCGAGTCCAGAGTGGGTTTCATTCTCAGTGCATGCCCACAGGAGATCCTACCGGCCTAATGCAATTCCCAGTGGACAGGCCAATATATAACTTTCCATGCCCACTGCCCTTCAGGTGAGGGAGGCCTGGCGTGCTCCCTCAACATGCTTTCCCTGGTTCCATATCACATCGTCCTGGCTTCCACCTTACCTCCCACATTATAGTTAATTGGAATAGGAATGGACACCTCAACGTGGGTTCAGTCAATCTCCAGATTTGGCCAGTGACCTGTGAGGTAGTCAAAAATAAAAAGGCTCAACCCAACAGGAAATTTCTTTCTTGAATACTCTGAATTTTAGATAAACATGAAGACAAGGATAAACACAATCACTGTGGAGATAGGGATAGCAATGGAAAGTTCCTAATAGGTGCATGAGTAGGAAAGATGACCGTGAACTCAGAGGAGACAAAGCATATCATGAGTGAACCTAAGTTATGGATCAGCCAAAGCCAACCCATGCAGCAGAGAAGTGTGCTGGAGGGAGCAGGAGAAGATGAGAGACAGATTAATAACCATGGAGGATAGACATGTGCCTGCTGTAGGCAGCAGGCTAATATTGCCTATAGACTATGGGATCCTTGTAGCCTCTAAGGCTCATGCCTCATTCTGGGTTAGGAGGGAACTGAGTTATAGAGTTATTCCTGGGACCCTGCACCATTTCTAACTCCTCACTCTCATGTATTTCCTTGCAATGAGATACCATTATTTACTAGAAAGGATTGGATCTCTTTGTTGCATAGAAGAAAGATCTGAGAAGAAAAGGAAAACAAGCCCCTGGCCGTGTAGATGTGTTTCCTGCTGGGCATTGTATCTCTTTATCAGCAATGCAAAGCTTTTGCTGGGTAAAATCTTAGCACAAGGGCTTCTATAATGCTCCCATTATAAATGAGAATTCCTCTTGGTCTTGGAGACTTGGGTGTCTTAAGAGAAATAAAAATGTTCCTAATAAGTTCATCATCCTYATCTGGAGTCTGGAGTAATGAGTGAGAGCAGGAAAATTAATTAGGGCACTACTTGATGTTATGTAGGATTATCAGAATCTAGTAGAAAAGTGCTGCCAATATTGGGGAATGCTRCAGACTACATGGTGTGTCCCCTCAAAATTTATGTGGTAAAACTTAACCCCCCAAGGTGATGGTATTAGGAAGCAGGGTCTTTAGAGATGTGATTAGGCTACGTGATTAGTTCCTTATAAAAAGGGACTCCAGAGAATTCCCTTGCCCCCTCTTCCTTGTGAGGTCTGAAAGAAGACAGCATCTATGAACCAGGAAGTGAACTCCATGAGATCGGAAATTATGGACGTTGGAATTCTCAGCCTCCAAAAGTGTGAGAAGTAAAACTTATCCTTTATAAATCACCAAGTCTATGGTAATTTTTGTTATAGCAGCCAAACAGACTAAGACAGTGGGAGTTGTCAAATGAATTTTGAAAATAGCTCCCTAGACTGTCATTTGAAAAATTTTAATATGCATAGGAATCACCTGGGGATCTTTTAAAAATGCAGATTCTGTTCAATGGGTCTGTGTGGAGATTGGGTATTTGCAGCAAACTCCTGTGAGATGCTGAGGACGATGCTCTGGGAGCACATTCTGAGGAGACTGTGATATGAACCTCACTGCCTGGGCCGAGAATAGCAGCTCACCCTGGTGTCACGGCGTGAGTGCTCATTAAAACACATGTGAAGCTTGGCCTCTGAGGCCCTGAGAGCTATTCTGTGTTACTTGATAGAAGATACAAATGAATAAACTCTCCATCACGTTAGTAAAAAGGAAAATATTTGAAAATTTATCCCTGAATTCCAAACCATTAAGAAACTGATGGCAGCAACTTTTTCTTTTTAATTCTTAGAAAATTATAGCTTTTAAGCTAAAAGAATGAGAAGGCTGGAGGGTTGAATAGAAAGGTTGGAGAGCAGTCAGACAATTCCTATTGGCCAAGTTATCTCATGAATAAAAACCTAACACTTTACAATGAGAAAAGGGGAAGTACCCAGGGCAAAGTGTGGCATATAGGAACAGAACTTAATTTGGACTAGGTGTATTACACTTAAATCTCCCTCTCACACTCACCAATCAAATTTGTTTTATAAAATCACTGGGGCAGATGGAATGTCAATTATAAACAGGCAGAATTTCCAGCCATTTTAAAAGAGGTCTGAAAGCTGAGGTTTCTGTGAGCATAGGCTACGAGAAGGCTGTTCATTATACGAAAGTGGGTAAAGATTTACAAAATTTCCATACTTGAGAGACAATGTGACTTGAAAACATTTAGGAATGGTTCAGTTTCAAAGAGGACCAGGACTCTGCAGATGATTTTCTTCCCAGCCAACCACTCACTATCCCAGGTGCCACTCCCTTCTTCATGCAGTATAACCTGGGAAGTGGCACAGGCCATGGACACTGCCTCAGGATCTCCAAGGGCTGCAGTATATTGCCTAAGGGAGGTGAGGTCAACTTTAGGTTTTCTTCTGGTAGACTGATTACAAGGTGACCACTAGTATTGCCCTTTAGGTGGGAGACATTGATCTTGGGCACATTGGAGAAATGAGACATCCTGAATACTATCCTTATTGCCCTTGGACTTCTTACTGGGCAGCCAGCTTTTCCTGGTTTGCTTGGGATTTTTTTTTAGATTTGAACACTGAAATGTCTGTCCTGGGAGACCTCCCAGTCTCAGGCAAACCAGGAAGGTTTTCTTCTTAGACTAGTGAGGTGTGGGTGGTAAAGAAACCATGTGGAAAGATAAAGAAAGAGACAGAAAAGCCCAAGGAAAGATGTAGGTAGAACTTCCCTGTGTCCTGACAGTGATTTAGGATTTGGCTTTTTATTTATAAGAACATTCAAAAAGAAGGTGTTGGAGGAGGGGCTCTGTGTTAAGACAAATTAGGAGCATTTCCCATAATCAGTTGACTGGTTCCTGGGAGGTGTTTTATTTTAATGATCACAGCACCCCCTCACCCCAACATCACTGAAATTTCAAAGGCGAAGACAAAGGGGAAAAAAAATGTTTGCTTGTGCTTGTGGAGCGGGCAAGAGCGGGGCTGTCAACTCCAATACACTTCTGAAAATGATGCTGACGGGGAAGTCGTGTCCGAAGCACCAAGGGATAAAATGAGCCAATGCTTTTGTTGCCCCTACTTAATTAGGTCACAAAACTTGGGATTCATCTTCTGAAAGCAAAGGCGCAGAGAAGAASCAAATTTCAAACCATAAACTCATACTCAAATTTGACATTAAAAAAAAAATCCTCGTAGGAAGAGGTCCACATTAAACCAGTCATTAATTTTGAACCCTCAAAATGAGAGCTACTAGAATCCTAAGACTATCAAACCATAAAGATACTTGTTTTTTGCTCTGACTTTGGTGTCCATCTTAACCAAGCAGGATTAATTCATGGCCTAGGAGCTCTGTGAGCTTATGTTTATTTATAATATTCAATATTCCCACAAGCACAAATGTTTCAAATGGAAGACTGCATTTTGATAATGCCCATTTCTTCATTAAGATTTCATCATCCACCTACATTAAAAAGCCTCTCCCTACACTTTGTTGCTTCTGCTTTCACCTTGTATATTCCTGCTTTATTTACTTAATCTCGAGTTTCTGGCTTCCCAGGCACTCTCAAAATCGAAACAGGCAAAGTTTGTGCATTAGCGTATCCTGAGCATGCATGATTTATGAATGGCAAGTTTCTTGGCACAATTTAATGGCCTAAGAGAGACTTTGTTTTAAACATTAAAATGAAAGTTAAGAAGTGGCAACAATGGGTGGGATATCAGAATATYCAGAGTGCAAATAAGTTCAGGTCCAGAGCTCACCGGTTTTTACTTTGTTTCTTAGTCTGTGAACAGAGCTCTGACCAGTTTAATAAATTATATAGGTCCCTGACTATGACCAGTTAAAAAAGTATTTTAAATTGTTATTCTGATAACATACTTAGCTAAACCCGAATTATGAAGAAAAAACTTAACATTTTCATTAATGGAGATAACAAATATCTTTGACTAGTCCAAACTAGTCCAAGGGAAGTTAGTTTTCTCTTTAGGAGGCATATTACTCATATTCAAATCATTTTCCATCATAATAATTCTTCCTTTGATGAAGTCTTTTGTAAATCCATCTGTCAGTACTTCAGATCTTTTTAAAAGAAAGTCCAAACTTTCATAGTCTCAGAAGAATTAGCATCCTTAGCAAAATTAGAGTTGCACTCCTGTTATGTGTCATATGATTTAAAGGCTCAATATCCAAGTATTTTCTCATTACAAAAACATGGGGTTGAATAATAAAATTTTAAAATAAATATAATTCAAATGTACATAGTAAGCAAAATCATCATTAAATTAATTATTTCAAAAGATGCCCTGGGTATCCTCCACCCACTTCACACAAGCAAGAAATCTCTAAATTTTCTTTGCATGTGGCTCAATTAAAGAACTTGGGATGTTTTAACTTAGGCTTACAAATAACAACACAGGCGTTTTATAATTAAATGTTTGACGTGTTTGCAACAGTTACTCAAAAATTGTTCCAGAAGACCGGAAAGTTCTCAGTATCAATGTTAAGAAATGATGGCTGATAAAGCCCTGGCTAGAACAAGCTCAGGATTCATAGACAACTGGCAACATTGCTTCCAAAAGAAGTCTTTTATTTCCTTCATGATGGAAGCAACTCTGAACCACATTTACCATTCAGGGCACTTTCTTTCTCCACTTCAGAGAACGTGTAGAGCCCTATACCACATAAGGACTCATGAGTTACCTTGTAGATTTTGCAATGGCAGAGTCATAATGCCTCCAGCTGCAGCTGCTGCTACCAGCCCTTGGATGTTGGTGAGATTTGCTGTAGGCAGTGTGAGGACCAGTCCTTGCTGACCTCCTAGCTGGCCGGCCATGTTGAAAGGGATGAGGATAGGCTGATTGAGGGCTGGAGGGCCTCCGGGCATCACGCCGGCCACAGCAGAGGCTAACTGCTGTGCCGTCAGAAGTGGCTGTGAAGAAACAAGAGAAACCCAGCTCACTTTGCAGTGGAACCAAGGCATGCATGGGCTTTTAAAGTATATTCTTTCCGTTTTGGTAGGGTCAGAAAGTTCCTGAAGAAGAAGCAAAGAATCACACTCTATCCCAGAAAAAGAGATTTCTGTCAGAAGAAAAATTTGGAAATCACATTTCATTTATTCCTTTGAAATTTTTTATTTGGTTTAGACTTCCTCTGAGGTGTTCAAATACCTTTAAAAGTAATACCTTACACTTGTATCATAGCCTTCCAATGAATTTTCATTTGATTCTAAACTTTCATATATTTGAAACTCTCCGCTAATTTATCCTGTGTTGTTCTGGAAAGAGCTCATTGAAGTTGGTGGGATATTTCTGGTTCAAAAATAGCGATGAAATACTATTTTCAGCTATTAACAAAAATAATGTAAAAGATTTACTTGTTGCTAAAAAGTCTGTAGTGATACCATTATGCAGATGAATGACTGGAGGACATGTATACTGACATAATCCTTTTGGAAAGCAATTTGGAAATACATAGCAAGAGCTGCAAATATATTCATCCCCTTTTGACTCAGAATATACTCCTAGGATATAGCTTAAAGATAGAATTCAAAAGGAAAAAAGATAAATGCATGGAAATATGCATTACATTTTAAAATGCATAAATGTTGGAAAATAGTGTGTTACAGAATGAAACTTGATGAGACATTGCATAGTCATTAAAATGGACTATSATGACACTTCTTAAGAAAAATGGAAGATGTTTATAACAGGAGAGTATACAAAAAAACCCATATAATTATTAATTAAGTAAATGATTATTATTAAAATGGTGAAGTCACATGTGTAGAACATCAAGATCTAAAATGGAACATAAAAATAAGAATATTTATTTTTTACATTTTTAAAATAAAATCTTTAAAAGTTCTCTTATTATTCAAACACTCTTTGCCTAATTCAAATGATATTATAAAATACACATTTATATACATTATTGATCCAATAACCATTGTTTGAGGTTGCAAGGCAGAGCTGCTGGGCACAAGGTCTGCTTAAGTGTTGGAGTGAGGCCCTCATAAGGGTGTTGTGGTAAGGATCTCTGTCCTGGCCTGGCTAAGTGACCTCAAGAATCATTTCATCTTAACATCTTTAATCTAGGACTTTATTATTCTCCTGTGGGAGCTACTGTGCAAAACCTAATCCTAAATTCAGTTTTATTCTGTAGAACCAATATAAAACTCTTATCAATGGTTTTTAAATGCAGTATGATTCTATAAAGGAAAGATGATTAAATAGAAGCATGATACAAAGCCCAATATATAATAGCCAGGCACACTATTCTAATGCTTCAGTTATCTTACCAATGAGGTACAGAAAATTAGTAACTTGCCCAAAGACTCACTTATAGTATGTGTGGGGGAAGTCAAGTTCAAGTGCAGGAGGGTGGTTCCAGAGTCCATATTTTACCCCTTTCACCAATACAAAGAACAGATGTAGAAGAGTGGGACTACTGCATTTGAATGATGAGGAGAGGAGTAGAAAGGCTGAGCCCACCTTTAGCCATCCCTCCTCTGTACCCTCCATGTCCCTTCAGGGACACTCTGGAGAAGCCTTTGGACTCCAGCAGCTCAGATTTAGAACCTCTTCTCTAGACCCCATGGACCTAGTTCCTAATATATTTTCACACTTTATCAAATTCACATCAAATAGTTGTATGTCTCTTTTTTTAAAAAAATACAAAATTACTTTGAAGAGCAAAATAAACAGACTTTGGGTGTAAGAATAAAATTATAAGGTGACCCTCAGACTCTTGGTATGACATCACTGCCATGAAATATGTTAAATGGGAAGGTAAACAGGCAAGTCCTAAGATGACATACATAGATTTGAAGTTATTGGCCTGAAGGATTTTTAAAGTGGATTTGTGGGCTGAGAGCGGGCCATGTCCCTCCAGTTTGTCACAGTGCCACCGTTCCTCACTGTCCTGGATCTGTCATGCTATGTACCTAATCTGGAGGTATTGGAGTGTGTTAGGACTAGTACACTTTCAAACACATCTGTGCACACACATGCATGATGTAACAACAACATTATACAGGGTATAACACAAAGAAAGAAGTTACTGAAATTTCCATAAAATGTTCTCTGGGCTTTGGTAACCCAATAGATATCTACCCAGACTTGCTCTGAGCTGGAGGATAGGATCTGAGGCTATTAGGAGACTTGGTAGCAACTAGAACAACAAGACCAACCAAGCTTATCTCTTGAGCAAGCCCTCAATGTGCTGAAAGTGATTAATTTCCAGGAACAACATGACAGCGGAAGGAAAAGTCCCCAATATCTCCTTCCATAAAAATAGGATGAACTCTGAAAGCTTCATACTAAACGACAGAGGTTAAAAAAAGCTCACTCTTTTATAATTGTGTTCTACATCTCCATATAACCCACACCAGGCTGCAAAAAACAAATATTGGACTTTAAAAAATAATGAATGTATTTCTTTATTAATGCAGGAGCTATGTGTGATGTACAGTATTGTCAAACCCAATAAGCTGAACTTGCATTAAAATTGCATTAACTTTTTTATATTAAATCACATCTTGTATTTCAAAAATGGCTATAGTAAGGTTGAAATAACTTAATTTTCTTCACACTCCAGTCATTAAAGTTTTACTTTCAAGAAAACTGCACAGTAACCAAGAGAACAGATGGAGTGGGTTTAAGAGGGGGAAAAATGTTTCCAAATGATTAAAACAAACTTTCCTTAAAGAAGAGAGAATAGTTTTGCAAATGCATATTCTTGGTGGTATTTAATAAATAATGTAGACATACAGCTTCCCATACGAAAATTTATCACCATCTTTGCTCTGTTGGAGTTAATTGGATTTAACTCATTATTATTTATTTGGTTATTTATATGGTTAAGCCATCCTAAATGCAGCCTAATGGATAGCAGTTGAAAGATACTGACCTGTGGCCCAACGGGAAATGGGGGGTGAGTCTGGCCAGTCTGGTGTTGGTCAGGAGTGCCTGGGTCTGATGGTGTCGCGTTGCCCCTGGCCCCTGAAATTCAAAAGAGACATGCTCCCTTAATATGAGATCCAGCCTGGGAACTGCACATGACCCCGTTTCCCTGTGATGTCACAGAGCATTAAGGGACAAATGATATGACAGAGTAGTTTATCAATAGTTCCAGTGCTCAAATCACTTGTCAACTGCATAAATGATGCGAAGGGACATTCAAAAAGGCCAAAGTCATAGCAAGGTAGAAAGCGAGGACAGGGGAGAAAGCAATACTATCATCAGTTGCACCAAGAGGTTTGCATCAGACATCAGTGTGCGTAGTGCCTGGCAGCGTGTGGTACACATGGGGAACTGTGTCCTTTGTGGACAAGTGAGCCACAGCTTATCTAATTTTCCAAAGTCAAAATGGTTCGATCTCAGACATGACCAAGTCCATCCACATTATCCCCTAATATGGCTTCCCCTCTTCTTCATACCCTAATCCCTCTTTCCACACATGCTTCAGACTCTGAATCTTGTACGTGCCTTTTCCTAAGAACAAAGCCTCTTTCAAAAATCACTTTTCAAAATATTCCAACAAGTACATGGATTTCCTTCAGCAAGTTTCTTGATTGCTAATTGAAAGAGGAGGAATCCCATAGTAACTCCTGGGAGCCCCACACTATGCTAAGCACTGAACAAAACTTGTTTCCTGTGCTGGAATCYTTTCAGACTACAAAGCAGGAAACACCAAAGCAGCAAATCTTTAAAGTYCTTTGAACACTAGAGTCTCTGTGTGTGCTTATGTGCTTTGTTTCAGGACAAACCGTAGTGTTAAGACAATAGTAGAACAATAAATATGTGAATACACAAACAAAACTGGCAGCCATTTTTGAAGGTTTCTAGTTGCTAGCTTTTGTTTTCTTGGAGTTTTCTAATGGGATGGTGGAAATCCAATTCCAAGCAAACCTTAACAAGATCCTCTTTCCTGATGTTTGTCCTATGAATAGCAAGTGGAAGACAATTCAAACCCTGTTTACTGGCATGCTATGGACGACCAAGRAAAAAAAAAGATATGATTCTGTCACACTTATAAATTTTAAAGAAGGTATTATTGGCTCATTTAAAACAAATTCTTCTATATATTCTCCAAAGGGACAGACTTATAAATAATGGAAATGTGGAAAAAATACTTCAGCACATTAAGCTACAAATAAAATTGACTGCTACATATTATTCAATTGACTTCTATCTCCACAGCGATGTGTCAATCATAACAGCATTTTATAATAGGATTAAGCAATAAACGTGCAAAGCCATTATGCAGAAATCTGAAAATCTGATTAATTTGTAATTTTTTTTTTTTGTGCAGAAAGTCAGGAATGGACATTGCTTGGGGAATACTTACAAGCATTCTATTGAAATTTCTAAATTGATTTGGAACAAACTAATAAAAACACAGACTTGCTGACATTTTATAAAGTGAATTCTGTCAAAATATGTTTGGCATTTTAATGATCGCTGTCATTTAATAACAAGGGTAAGATGACCTATCAGAAGCTGCCAGCAATTTCCCCATAATGTGAGAAGATCTTTCTTCTAAATTTTTTATATGATTTACTTATTATGCTTGAAAAGCAGAGCATTGTAAATGAGAAAGTGCCTTATGCAATGTAATCTCATGGTGTCTGTTCTTATATACCCGATTCCTATTTTTGCCTTAAAATTCTCAGCAGAACTTTATGACTGCAAATAAGTTACCTGGTCGCAAAATGATGCTTTAAATCAAACATTCAGATTAGGTTAATCTGCAAATGGCTAAAAATTTTCACTGTTTTTAAAAATTTGTTGCTTCCTCAAATTTGTCAGGTATGAATTTTTTTTAACCAGATTGTAAAATGCAAGTTTTATGATGCACAGAAAAAAAAATGTAAAACCCTTTATGTGTGTGTGTGTGTGTGTGTGTATATCTTAAATTTTAAAAAAATTTCTGTACCATGTAAGGCCCTCTGTGTAATTTTTCTTTAAAGTGTGCCAGGCCCAGTTTGGATTCTTCCTAATGCGTGCCATTACAATGTTTAGGATGGTCCTATACAGGCAATGTGTGTATAAAAAGTGTATTTTTTCCCTACAACTTTACACAGATTGCATTTGCTTACATTTATTCTTTGTTGCTTTGAGGCTCTCTCTGGTGCTCAGCAGCTTGTTCCAGGGCTGGATATTCTTAAAAACCATGTTCAATGCAGTCTGGGGGCAATTCCACACAATTTCATGTGTAAAATGAAGTCTTTCACAGGCTCTAGAGGAGATTATATATGCTCTCTTGTCTGGATCAAAAAGTAATGTTTCTTTTTAATGCACATCTCCATTTTCCCCAAACATGTGTATCATGCTTAACCTTGTAGGACCATAATAATAATCTGTCTAGTTGGAAGGCATTCCTGAATAGGGACCTTCTCAGAGCTGCAGGGGAATCCAGCAGTCAGAATGAATAAATGACATTGGTTAAAGGTTTCAGAGATTTGAAGCCACCCTTAGCTGTGCATTAGCAGAGAATTTGAGGTTAGATATTTCCAGGAGCATGGATATAAAAATACAAACTTGAATGGGTTGGGTAAGTTCCTTCTGACCTAGAGTCTGGAAAATATTTTACATCTCTGGGGACCAAGGAATCCCAAGAAAGTTCCCTGAGGCCAGTTCTGAAGGGAATTCCTGTGCTTTTTGCACAGCAACTCCAAGCTCAGTGGGTCATGGAACTAGGCTGCAGGTTCCCTACTTCTTGTAGGGATATCATTCATATGTGATGAGTATTCACTCAATAACAATAGAGGTTGGCAGAGGTATAATTCCTTTAAGATCGATGTTGKCATCAAGGAGACTACCTGCAATTGTTTAACATTAAGCCTTGGAAGTATCTTCAAATTACTAGCTTATTGGCAAATTGTACCTCAATTAATTGGCATATTGCTATAGCCCATGTGCTGATGACTTGGTCTCAGCCTGGGGCACTACTGGGAGGTGGTGAAACCTTTGGGAGATGGGGCCTTATGGAGGAAGTTGAGTCATTAGAACTATGCCCTTGAAGGGGACATCAGGGCCCTGGCCCCTCTTCTCATTCTCTTTACTTTCCATCCACTGTGAGGTCAGCAGCTTTCCTCTACCACGGGCTTCCCCACCATGATGTGCTGCCTCCCTGCAGGTTCAAAGCTATGGATCATGGACTAGAACCTCTGAAATGGTGAACCAAAATGAAATGGTGAAACTTTCCTCATGACACAAAGCCGATGAACACAGACAGAAAGGAAAAGCAGTTTGGTGGAAGGGTTATAGGCAGGGATGTTTTTAAATGTTAAACTCTGCCTAGGTTTATATTGAGCTCTGCCACTTAACTAAGAGCACCAACTTGGGCTTGTATCCTAATATCTTTATACATCAGCTGCCTCTTGTAGAAGTCAGGGATAATGACAGCACCTCCATCATAGGGTGGCTGTTGTGAGACTTAAATAAGCTAATATATAAATGTAAATAAGTATGTTTCTTGAAATGGTGCGTGCTTGTTATACAAATGCAATTTTGGTTGGGTCCTATACTCTAATAAAATTTGCATTTAAACTAATAATATTTAATACTATTTAATCTGTCCATAATATTCACCTCCCCTGAGGYAACTCAGTACATATTCCCATTCCTATGTGCACAGCCCACTCCTTCCTACACATCCGCAAAGGCTTGCATTACCTCTAACTATTACTGTGCACCATTAAATGAATGTTTGGAATARAAATAAATAGCTGAGTCTTTAAGAGGCTATGAAATGAGATGTTTATAACAGTCATCCCTCAGTATCCAAAAGATGGGTTCCAGGACTCCACATAGATACCACAGCTCAGGGATGCCCAAGTCCCTTACATAAAATAGTGTAGCATTTACATAAAATGTACCCATATTCTCTCAAATACTTTAAATCATCTCTGGATTACTCATAATACCTAATACAATGTAAAAGCTATGTAAGTAGTCATTATATTATATTGTGTAGGCAGAAATGGCAAGAAAAAAAAATATATATATATATATGAATACATACATATATATATATATATGAATACATACATATATATATATTTGAATTTGTACTGAATATATATATTCAGTACAAATGCAATTTTTCCCTGATTATTTTCAGTCCATGGTTGGTTGAATCTGAGGTTATAGATCCTAGAAATACAGAGAGCTAGCTGTATAATATTCCCTTTAGTTTATGGTTGCATAATGAGGAACTATGGCACCAAGATACCAGCAAAGAGCTTCCAAATTCTCACACAGACCATGGCTAGGACTAGAGGCCCACACTTGAGACTGTGAATCATTTGTGGAGCTTCTCAAACACACAGAGGGTCACATTCCACAGGAGGCTATTGACAGAGATTCTAAGAGGTGGTTTCTGTGGACATTTCGACTTAGCTGCCCACAAGGGAGTCTGAATCTCCTCAGCACTGAGGATACCATGTGCAATTAGTTTTATGAATAGTGGATGCATCTTCATCTGGCAGTCCCCATGGCTTTCCAAGTTTTTTCTCTTGGAACTTTGTCTCACAGCAATCCTGATTGACTTCTAGCTCAGAAAGGGGAAGAATCTTCTCAGATAYCTCTCTTTTGTTATATTAATTATAATTAATTTTTTGTTATAAATTAATTATAATTAATTCACAGGTAACTCAAGGAGTGTAAAAACTGATTTTAAAGAGCCATACTACAAAATTTTAAATAGCTATGTAATATGTGTTAATTCTTTGCAAATACAGAGAAACCAGATTTAAATCTGTTACAGCAAGGACAGTGACGACATGGAAAGACTGACTAGGAGTTTGGGGAGTGTACTTGGCAAAGACTGGTTTTTAATTATTAAAATGCCTGCTGTCAGAGACCATTCATTCCTACAACACCATCTTTCCAGGTGTGATCTCACATCTGAAACCTGCAGTTTCCTATAGATTCCTCTGCCCTGGAGGAACATGGTGACTCACAGAGTTGAGAGGGATGACAGCCCAACACTCCTC